CTTTGTATTTAAGCTGAAGGGTCTAAAGTACTATATCACAAGCGCCGGCAGTCAGCTCAGACAGAATTCAATGCCACAGTGAAACTCGAGACTAAGAGATGTGATATTGGGTTTGACATGTTCTGAAATAATCTTCTTTTCCGGCCAAGTAGGCTTATCCTTGCCTTTTTAGAAATTGTTCTCTGGATTGACCCTCAGAAGGTCAGTAATAATATAATCAGAGGTCACGTGTTCACGTGGACGGGTGGTTTTTAAAAAAGATTAAGGATTGCTCCCGCATGTCCAGGCGAAAAGACACGCTGTGTGTGGGAGAGTCGGTTTTTATAAGGGAACGCGCACGATTTGATTTTTATTGAAGTCGAAAGGTTTGACAAACACGGTACATCCACATTCGACGTTGTCATTCTCATGGGAAGCTCTCAAAGAGTGGGGTCTCTGATTCGAATTAGATGACTCGTATAGCGTGCATTGCTCACAACACCATAATTAAACGAAAGTACTAATCCTCTTGGCTCGATTATTTACGAGACCCAACTCCCTAGCTTCACGTGGCACGAGGTAATGAGGGAGTGAGATTTGATGCTTGCTTCCTGATCAGTTTGGAGTTCAATACCAAAACAGCTTTTAACTCTTTCTGATCCTTGACTCGGAAAGTCCACGAGTTTCTGTTCTTTATCTAGAAGATGTACGTAGAGGGGTGACATGTATAGGGTTAAGATGTCATTATATTTTGTGGCTCCGGTGATTGAGTGCTACGGTGCAATCAACAACAGCAATATTCTTAAGCTGCATCTTAATACTGTGTTCGGGTGAGCCACAGAAGGCTATGGAATTTTAAAGCCTTTATTATAGACTACCAGCACGTGTTTCTCAATTGCTTATTTCGAATGGCATTTGTTTCGTTTTCTGGCCTTAATAATAAAATGCATCTTTGGTAGACGTGCCCCTTTCATCATATCTCAGTTTGAAAATTTCAAGATATAACAATGTGTTATATTCATTTTGCTCTTTTATTAGTCTAAAAGAGACTAGTTTTTGGGTGGATTTGCCTGGTTACGTGTGTATCAAGTGGGTATTGTTTCGTTGGCTTTGACTGACGCTTGTTGTATGGCGGTTATGAGATTCGCTTTAGCACACAGAAGATTTGACTTCGATTCTAGTTTGTGGAGGTTTTCTATCGAGTATCACTGTCTGTCTGCTGAGATATTGTATTCATCTTAGCTCGTACTGGCTCTGACAGGCACTCTTTGGTAAACCGTAAAAGATGGAAGATTTTACTACCCATCTGATGAGACTAAAGACTCACACTAATGAATTGATAGTACCGGCCAAAAGATGACACGTCAGACCCGAGTCGACCCCCAATAGAGCTAATTAATGCATCTAGAAAAATGTTTTTTTCGTGTACAAACTCCCAAGGAAGGCGTTTGAGAATCACTTCTTACTGAATACGTGTTGTGATTGACACTTAAAGCACTCTCCCTTGAAAAGCTGCGTCTCTTCTATCTTCATTTGTCCCCTTTCAGTTTAACAGCCTACTAGACACAGATTGAGTTTTTCGTAAAAAGCAGACTACGTGGCCTTTCCTCTGGGTTTCAGAGGTGGAGGAAAAAACCTGAAGCGAAAAAGAACATATTTTAAATGTTTGTGCTCACTCTGGCTGTGAGCCACATCTGTTAACTGAGCCAGGAATGAGCGGTCAAGTCCACGTTCGACCGAGGATGACAGAAAGCGGAGCTAACTAGCTGTGTTAGGTAAACAGAGGGAGGTAGGGAAAGAGACAGACAGATATACATACATATATATATATATATATATATATATATATATATATATATATATATATATATAGATAGATAGATAGATAGATAGATAGATAGATAGATAGATAGATAGATAGATGGAGAAAGTGTGTGTGTGTGGGGGGGGGGGGGGTTGTGTTCGTGCGTGCATACGTGCGTGTGCGCGTGTGTGTTTGTGTGTGTGTGTGAGTCTGTGTGTGTGTGTGTGTGTGTGTGTGTGTGTGTGTGTGTGTGTGTGTGTGTGTGTGAGAGAGAGAGAGAGAGAGAGAGAGAGAGAGAGAGAGAGAAAGAGAGGGAAAAAGAGAAAGAGAGCGATTGAAAGAGATACAAAAAGGAGAGAGAGCAAGAGCGAGAGAGAGAAGAGAGAGAGAGAAAGAGAGAGAGAGAGAGATAGATAGATAGATAGATAGATAGATAGATAGAGAGAGAGAGAGAGAGAGAGAGAGAGAGAGAGAGAGAGAGAGAGAGAGAGAGAGACTAGCCATTTCACAACAGAATAATCGCGGGTCTCTTTCTTCTGATTTTGTGCGCCATGCTTCCAAATACGGTATAGAACATCCATGAACATTGTATGGACCACATTTGCTCTGGCTAAGAACTGATATGCTGCAAATCTTGCGCCATCTTTCCTTTTCTTCTCTTACAATAGGCCATCCTCGTGCCTCTTGCTTACAATGAACATAATCATATATCGTCTGGGATAATTAAGATTTCTCCTTTTAATGAGACGTACTCGACCGCTGAGGAAGCTGAAACGCACAGGTTTTCAACAAAAGACAACGCGAGAGAACAAGCAGAGAGCTGTAATCCACAAAATGAGACTAACGAAGTAGCTGTAATGATGTTTGCCAGTTGTCTATAGACTCCACTCTTGATGGCAAGTAAACAGAAGGGACATTGCTTCATCCATCATGGAACATCGCTTTATCTATCACTGGCAGAGCTCAATTATAATCCAGTTCTCCATATAGATAGTAACAATAGCATCATGAATTCGTATACTATATGGAATGCTTTTATACTCTTTTCACCCTTCTCTCCTTACGAACAATAAAACGCTTTTCCCCCCGATTCTGAAGAATACAGTGAAAGCGAATGTATTATGCATTGTGCTGTCAATAAATGGTATTTGCAATTAGCCAACTTAGTAGCCCATTTGAGTTTGTTGACCAGTCTCTGTCAACATCTGTGTTATACAATAATTATATTATATTATAGTGTTTAAAATTCCTTAAAAGTGCTCGATGACGCTCTTACAAAATCAACTAAGGACACAACCGCATACATGCATTAATACAAGTTAGAACATAAACGTATAGCAGGCCTTTTAGATCTAAGCTTATGCAATACTAAGAAAATATCATTTCATACCTATCGTCTTATTGCTTAAAAACCATGTCGTCAGTCACAGCGCTGTACTCTGTACGTTGTTTGAATAATTTTGTTTTGAAAAAAGACGTTTTGCTCAGGGGAAAAAGAGATTCTATGGTAAAGATTAGAAATGGTTACTTTCACCGGAAAAAGATACCCCATTTTAAAATGGTTAGTCCTCGCTGTTGTGTTGTTTCTTTCATCACATGAGTCTCCGAATACTGGACTTGCAGTTTGACCTAAGCCGTTTTTTAAATAGGTAAAGTGTAGACAATTAGCTCTGGGGACCGTCACATGCAGGGATGAAAGTTACTTTTTGACATTATTTTTTGGAAATGTTTCTATTCTTGGACTCCCCAGCATCCTAATTCGACCCGGCTTTCTAGACTCGTATTGTCGAATAAGAGTACATCCCACTTTATTCACACAGCTCGTCGGCCTTTTCTGTTTTCCATCGATTTTTCTAAATAATTTAGAGAGAAACGAGCAGAAAGAGATGAATAGAAACCAATTATTCGCTTTTCATAAGCACTGAAAGCTGAGCCAAAATTTTCTGTGACGTCCAAACCGAACAGACAAATCAAAGGACACGGTGATCTTGGGAGATTTATGATATTAAGAAGATTGACTTTGAGTTGGGTGTGGTTGGATGGTTTTCCTTGACGTCTATTGTGGAACGATTAGGTTTTTCACAGTTGCACGCTTACGACTTCAATCTGCTTGTAAGTACGTCTATTTTTCGAATATCTCCGTCTTTCAGTTAGGATACTTCAAAATGAGTTGAATATTATTGAGAAAGGCATTCACAACTTACAAGCAATCCATTATGAATAGTGTTTTATATAATAGCCTAGCCTTTAATTTCTTTCCAGGTTTCATTTCTAAATTTGGCAGAAATAGATGCCAGAAAGAGAATGTGGATTAAAAAAAAGAAAATGTGTGTGGAGGGGAAGCTTTAAAGAATTTCCAAAGAATGGCTTACAGGAATGCTTCAAGTATGTGAGTTACAACATCAACACACAAGCAAAACAGAAATACACACAGATAGCAACAACGACAATTATAACAAACCAACAACAAGCAAGAACAGTCTACATACAGTTACTTTTAAGGAAACATACGGTTAGAAAAACTATACTGCGTGCAACAATGGGGTGTGGCCGAGGCGGTGTGGCACTCGTGACCGGCTTAAGTCACGCATATATTCAGGAACGTCTTTTTCTTCAGCGATCAAACACAAAATAGTTTTGATGGATACATCATTCCCCCTCTCATTGATTATAATTATGTTTTAAAGTCCTATTAAAACAAAATAGAGATAAAAAAGCCAAAAAAACCCCAAAACAATCCTCAAAAAACGAAGAAACAAAACTAAAAGAAAAGCACAAAGAAATAAAAAAATTCCCAATTATAACGATTAAATAAAAACAAAAAACAAACAAACACACACACCCAAAAAAAAACAACCATCAAGAACCCAAAAGCAAACATAAAACACCCCATCATGATCATCTAGGAAGGTTTGTGTGGGATGAATGAGGTGCAAGTTTTTAAACAGAAACTCTGATTCGAACACAAATAAACAGACAAACAAACAAAACTTGAAAAAACCCAAAACCATAAAAAAGAACAACAACAACGACAAAAAAGCTAAAAATAACTTGCAGCAACTAATCCCCGCCCCTTAAAAAAAAAAACGATACAAAAGAAAGAGAGAAACCCCCCCCCCCCCCCAGCAACAAACACACTTTCCTCAAAAGTAACAAAGTATAAAACACCCCCAAAAAGTAAAGGAAACGGGAGATTATACGATACTAATACACTTAC